CCCGATTTTTTTCTTCTTGTAGTGCTGTGGCCGTTGGCAATCGCAGACGTGTAATCGGCCGTTTCCGCTCAAAAGATTGCACTGTGTCCTGGCATTAGCACTCGTCACAGATTTGCAGCTAAATTGAGCGTATGGTTGTCTCATGAACTGTTCTTGAAGTGCTCGCTATTCTAGCAAACGGAAATGTTGCTGCGGTGGACGTTCATCCAAAGCTGGTTGGTTTCGGAGCAGACGACTCTTAGCTAGCAGACGACAGCCAGTTCCTCCGGTCCTCGCGCCTCGCATATGGCGTAGTGACACAAGTGCTCCCATGATGTCGGGTCACGTGGCTCGCTCCGACGCTCTTATTGGGTCGCAGGGCCCTAGCCCCCACAATTAACCAAGTAATCATGAAACAGAGTATAGTTGGGCACCCATGTGTGATGTACAGATAAAAACCTTGACAAGCATAAATACCCTGTCAGTGTCCCTTTAACAAGCACTAGATCAAGAGTATCGCAGAATTCTTATAGCATCGTCCCTGTAAAATCTGTATATCAGTTAAAATCTTCTAAGGTGCATTCATGTCTCCTAAGATAACTATTTCCCGATTAGTTCCAGCTTCTCCAACATCTTTGGAAATACACGTTGAGTGCTGTTCATTTTCCTCTCTTGAATAAGTTCCTGTTTTGAGATATACAAATTCTATGAGCGTGTCGAAACCTCTGATATTAACCTTTTAACCAGATGTGTTCTCTGCAGTTTTCCCTCACCCTTTTCCAGTCCTGTCCTTTTACTAGCACTCCCAATCTCCCTCATTCATGTTCCCGTGCACATCCATTGCATCCCACCTAGGGTTACCAACCGTCCCTAATTTTTATTAAGCGTCCAGAGTCCCGCATCGTCCCTGTCAGGACAGTTATATGTCCCGGATTAGGCCCAGACCGTCCAGTTAAAAATTTTATGTGATTTAATGCACGGCCAACAATGCGTGTCACGCTGCGAAGTATGAATCTCACGAAGCAACGCTGTGGTTATGGTGGCTACTGTGGTGACTAGCATTGGCTGCGAGAGGCTTTAGCCACTTTAGCTTGCAAGCCATGACAAGCCAAAAGTCAGGGCGACACTGGTGCTGGGTAGCGTTTGTTATCATCATCATCGTTTGAAAAAACCCCTTTGTGTCTCCCTTCTCTCTCGCATTGCCCTCACCCCCCCTCCCCCCCTCATAAGATACTTTATAATTTTTTTTTTCTGCAACTGCCACTGCGTGGTGAGAAAGGCTAACGCATGTTTCCTTGCTGTCTCTCTGTCTCCTCCTCCTCCTCCTCCTCCTCTCCTCTCCTCTCCTCTCCTCTCCTCTCCTCTCCTCTCCTCTCCTCTCCTCCCCTCCCCTCCCCTCCCCTCCATCACAACTTCCTTCAATGAAGAGTTGGTAACACTAATCCCACCCAAAAATAACCTGCCAAGTAGGGTATTTCCTCCATATCTCCCAAGATGCATCTCTGCCAACCCATACGCTACAAAATCATCATTTAATTGTTCCGCAATTTCTTCCCACTTCGTCTTATTTCTGCGCCCCTGCATGTTTATAAATTCTATACTGAGCTGCTCCTTTTTGCTTCTGCGAGGCTTCCTCCCAACCTTCCTATTTGCTTTTGAGCCAGCCACCAGGGGGCTCTGCCGGCTCCTAAAAAAGCCTTTGCTATACAGCCCATCGTACGCCCCACCCGCATCCCTGTCAGTTCCCAATGGTGGATGCCGTCTCGGCTGAACGGAGGGATCGGACTCTCCTGACCTCACATCCATTCTTAGAGCTCAGTCTCTCGATGGTCCTGTTAGCCTCCTGGGCTGCCCTCTCTGCACCTACTCCTCGGCCCCCGACCTCCAGGACGGTGCATGTTACAATGTGCACCATCCCGGAGGTTGTGACCCTCACTGCTTCACTCCCTCCTCCATGCGTGTGGCCAGGTCCCTTCCTTCTCTGTCTCGGACGTCATTCAATCCTGCGTGTACCACCAAAGGTTTTCCTCACCCTTGTTCCCAGTCAACTTTTCTACTGCCGTGTCCATCACCTCCTTCAAACCCCCGGCCATGGTAGGGCTGCAACTTTTGCTCTCCCATCTCCCCCGACCTTGCTGGCGATCCCCGCTGTGCACCTAAATACATTAGAGCTCCCTACCAAGAACACTCTCTGCCCCCTTCCCTTTCGTTTTTCCCGCATCGCGGGTTTGGTGGTTGTCGGAGTAGAGGGCTGCTGTTGCACCACCGCATTTTACAACAGCCCCGCTGCCTTCGCCGCCACACTGGTGTCTATGTCCTCTGCCGTCTCGGTCTCTAATGGGTGGTTGCCTCTCTCCTCTGACCTTGATACAGCAGAGCGCGCCCTCCTCGCCGCCAGACTTACTCGGAATCCTTTTCAGCCGATTACGACTGCTGGCTTCAGAGCGCTCCGACATTCTCAGCCCAGTCACGGAGGTAAAACCTCTTAATGTTAAAAATGCATAAAAAAATATTACAGATACGAGCAGCTGTCCAGCCACAGAGGATAAGCGTCGGCGGAGGTGGCCCGTGTTGCGAGTGTCAAGCGATAATTGACACTCGTAACGCGGGCCACTTCCGCCGACGGTTGTCCTCTGTGGCTGGACAGCTGCTCCTGACTCACCAACACCAAGTACCTCGCCGTTCTCCACGGAGGCCGCGAGACCCAATCCTCAAGAATGTCCCTCCATGGGAAGACTTCATGGCGCGTCTCCCCAAGCCTCTCACCCGAAGAACGAGCCGGGAAGAGCATCGAGAGGAAAGAGCATCCCTAGCCGACCGCAAAGATAGAACACCAATAGCCATCAATAGCCATCTGCCTGGTGTGAAGCCACCCAACGAGCCACCATTGCCTGGGTCACCGGCACTGACGCGCATGCCGAGACATACCACTACTCACAAGACCCCAGCACCTGTCGCCTTGAACTAGACGCCATTCATCTGGCACTAGCCCACCTGAAGGCCAACAGACCTCAAGCCAGCTCCCCTGAATCCATCCGGTTTCTGGTTTATACGGACAGCAGAGAGGCCGTCACCAGGCTTGGGCTCACACCTCGTCAGGGCTCCCTCTGCCAGCGCATTAAGACCCTATGCGCTGAACTGCTCTTCACCCACAACATAGAGGTGCGGGTGGATTGGGTACTGGGGCACGCGGGCGGCCGAGGCAACGAGGCCGCTCATGCGTGTGTGAGCGCGCAGTCAAGCATCCGCTCCGACCCGGATATTTCGGTCCCACCTGCACTACTCGACCCCGATCCCTGGAAAAAAAACGCTGCAGCCAAGAAGGCGGATCGCCTTAGTCTCAAGGAGCAGACCCCAGCCAACCCTTTACCCCTGCCGAGAGGTCGGCCTAGAGGTGCACAAGTGCTCATTCATAAAGCACGCACCGGGGCGGCTCTTAATGAAGACGTCCTGGCTCGATGGAGAACCTACACCCCCAAGAGAGGGCGCCCGCCTGCTACAAAATACTTAGGCGATACATCCACCTCACACACGAGTTCCCACTCCGAGTCAGCGCAGTCAACAGAGGCTCCCAGCCCGGCGGTGACCTGCTCTACATGTTCTACAGGCGTTCCCCCTATGGTCCGACATCTACTGTGGGAGTGTGCGGGGCCCCAAACTGAGCGGAGTTGTTTTCTAGACCCCAATGTGCGTGCCTACGAGGACTGGATTAACCCCAAGAGTAGTGCCTGTGCGAAAGAGACGCTGCTGTCCCTCTGGGACTTTGCGCGCGCGACGGGCATTGACCGAAGGATATAGCCTTAATTTTCGTTTTCTTTAATCCCCCCCTGTAAACCATCCCCTCCAGGCCGTCGCGCCATCCTTATCTTAATAAAGTGTAACAACAAACATACGGTGGACGATTGAGCAAAATTTATGCTCGCAACGTGATGAAATAACGGTTGTGACGTAAATTGTTTTACCCATTGGCATGTAAAAAAAAACAAAAGCAGCAGTATGCGAATTGATTTTTGCAGAACAGAACGAAAGCCAATGCTCGGAAAAAGTTGTCAACTCACCGCGTTTTCGACAGCGCCACATCAGCTGCGTGACGTCAGGGCAGTGTGTTGGTCTATATCAATCGCCGTCATGCCAGACCCCGCACACCACCACAGACCACTGCCGGCCATCGTCAACAAAACCACGTGATTCCCGTCCAAGTACCACATGACGCCTGCGCCGCTCCACACTCCGACGACTACAGACGGAGTGCTAGGGAGCGCTCCGAGAGGGAGAGGCGCCCTCGGAATGAACCAGCCGATCAGGCCACAGCACTTTCTTTCCACCACCCGATCTCGCGCGCTCTGGAGAGAGCGCTCGAGAGCGCGCAGAAAGAACGACGCAAATTCGCCATAACTGAGCTAATCTAGCAACCTTGCCAGTGGTACTTATTTTATTTTTTTTTTATGAGGAGTTTGAGTTGTGATTCCGATGCATGCTCTTCCTAGGTAAAAATTCTCATTGGATCGAATTGGAATTCTAACTGGTTTCAATTCAAACCAAATGGTTTTGGTGGGTTCCTATTGGAAGCACTGTGGCCAATTGGTCTCACCAATTGGACAGAAAAATGTTCTCGTCGGAAACTTAATGGGTTCCGATTGGTTCCTATTGCAGTGACCAATTGGAAATTCCAATTGGAATCTAATGGGAATTTTCAACTGGGTTCGCTTCGCGCCCGGAGCGCTATCGTGTCAAGCGTGTTTCACATGCAGCGATTTTGGCCCTAGAGCGGCGCGATTTCTGCCGTCACGGCGCTCGTGCCGCTCAACCGCTGGTGCTGGCCAGAGCGCCGTGACGGCAGAAATCGCGCCGCTCTAGGGCCAAAACCGCTGCATGTGAAACACGCTTCACACGCTAAAGCGAAACTCGCATGGAACAGTGCGTGTAATCGCACGTGCAGCCTCCTGTGTGATCTCGAAGCGCAAGAGCGGGTGCTTCTCCTAGATCGCAGCAGGGGGTGGCAAGAGAAATCCAGCGTTTACCTTCCTGCCTCTCCACGCAGAAGTTATACGGCTGCAGTGCGGTATCGCCCGGAGCTCTTGAGCGGCTGAACACGGTGGGCACGAAGTCAGGGCGGTCCTTGAAGTTCGATGGCCGCCCTAGAGTTAAGAGTCGCATTAATCGAGTAAAGCTCGCCAGAATCTTACGGAGCCGTACCTGTGACAAAGTGCGCGCTGCAGATGTGACAGTCCCCGAGAGGCTCCCAGAGCGAGCCGTCCGGGTGCACTCTCCTCACTGCAGCGACCCAAGCTGCTCTCTTCTCGGGATGCAATAGTGGCGATGGAAATCTAAAAAGCCTTGCGGTGTCTTTGCTGTCAAAATAATTGGTCGCACCACACACGACACAGAGAGCAGACATTATTTTGTCAGACGGCCCGTGGTGCAGTCGAACCCCAAATGTTCGACCTAAAAATTCGGTTCGAAGAAAGTTCGCGACACCCCTACTGTCAAGGTTCCTAGACGGGCATTACAAACGAAGCATTTCGTTTTATTCGGTTTAAAAGTCCTTTTCGTGTCATTTTCAACCAGAGATTGGTATGTTTGATGTGATAATGCTCCATTGAACACAAATAGACCAAAAAATAAGTGTCAAAATGTCGTGTTATGTTTTAACCCTTTAATCAACGTTACCCTTCACCAAGCCGTAATTCAATCCAATCCAATTTCTGTGTCGGCTGCTCTGCCCGAAGTGGCCGAAGTTCGCCGAGTTGGAACGTCTCTATTTATTCGGTGGTGATTTGTGGTGCATTAGTTAAGTTTAGTTTATTTAGCGAAGAATGAACGCTGCTGTCCACCCGGCTTTGAGCGATGACGACGAAGAGCTGGACCTTTCAGAAATCGACATTTTCGTGAGAAGGCCCATAGAGCCGAAGGGGTCACCGACTCGAACTTCTTCGGGCTCTTCCAAATTTCTGTCGCAGACCTCGTCGGCACCATTATACGTGCGCCCCGATCTACGAATGGTGCGTTTCCGAGAAAGTGCGCCCACGCTTTTAACTCGGAGCTAGGTTGGTTGTGCATGATGGGGATAAACAGCTCAGTAGGCGCAGACACCACGACAGGTCACAACTTCCTTTTCTTCGTCTGCGTTCGCTGAAACGTTTAGCAACTGGCCAAGTTTGCTGCCTTGTACAGTTGACTCCATTCGCTCATCGTCGCGATCGTGCAGAACCATAACATCGGCGCATTCTTGTTGATCAATATATCTGGTTGTCGGTGGTGAAAGTTACGACAGAGCGGTTGCCGTCCGTTCTCCGTGCTTAGACCGTAAACCACGCGTACAAACTTCTTTAGCTTCATATGTCGTGTGCAAACAGTGGCGGATTCAGAGGAGGGTCCCAGATGTCCTAATCCTGCTCTTGAATTCTCCATGTGTAAAAATTTAGGGCGTGGAAACGGGGGTTTAAAGATTGGGTACGCTGACCAACACCTGACCCCCTCCCTTCTAGAAATACCTGCGTCCGCCCCTGCGTGCAAGGCTCTCAAAGGTACTGGTCAGAGAACGTGGCTCTGTCTAGTACTTCATTTGCTATAGTTCGTTGCAGCACAAGAAGCTAGGGCGAGGGAAAGGAAGGCCGGGGAGGAGGAAGCATACAGAAGGCTGGAGAGAGAAGGATGTTTCCTCCTCCAGCGTTCCGTCTGCTTCTTTGTTCCCAGCCTTCCTTTCCCTTGCCCTACCTTCTTGAACTGTAACTTGCTATACATACCTTGCACGAGACGTCGTATGGCACAATACCAGCCGCCGTTGCTCTGTGCCATGCTCTTGTGCCCGTCCCTTCCACAGCATAGATTCCGTACCATCGAATTTATTCTTCTCAGCAAGTTTGATCGTGCCAAATGTAGGCTGCAGAAGGTGCGGGCACAGGAGCATGGTACGGAGCAATGGCGAATGATGTGACGTTGATGGAAGCCATGTATAGCTCACGGCAGTAGCCTTGATGGTGCTGTGCAGTATTTGTGAAAGAAACCATCGACGCGCAGGCGCCGTGAGGCCTTGTGCTTTCCAATTGGGAGTCAGTGGGGGCCATGTGGTAACAATGTCATGCTTTTGTGCGGAGCTGCGCTGACGTAGACATCCCAGGGGGATGGGGAAGCTTTTGGTGGGCCGCGCAAGCACTGCCCGCCCTGGCGTGGGTTCTCTTTTGGCAGTATTTTATTCATGTGTCTGGCAACTTTACTGATTTCGCTCAGCGAGACGCTAGCGGTGACATTGTGATTGCATAACTTGTGGCTTGCACTGTTGCTCATGTCGTCTGAGGCACCCGAAGGAGTTGTCAATATTCATCAACGCCGCCCTCGAGGCGCTCCTCGTACAACTGTTTTTTGATTCCATGTCCTTTGCGTTGCGTGTGCGCCCATTCTAAAAGCATCTTTCTTTTATTTGGAAGCAGTGTGTCGTCTTCTGCGTCTAACAGCACTGCTGCCATAATCGCATAGTGCCGCTTCATGTACGTCTCTAAGCTTCTACTCTCGTCAGCGCGCAGCAAGCCCTGTTGTCGAGAGTGTGATCGCTAAATGCTTCCGATAACACTGACATCCTTCTCGGCCCCTTGCCCATCGCTCACGTGCAAGTCGCGCTTAAAAAGATATAAACGTATAAGTTGTAGTCCGTGACGAACCTAAAACTCGATTGTCAATGTAAGCATCCCCTGGCAGTAGTGGCGTAGGGCGGGCTGCCAGGGGATGCTTACGCTGACACTCAGGCATTGAAGCAAATTAACGGCACGGGGGAGGAAGCGTGAGATCTCCCTCATCCCCGTCGCTCCTTAACTCCCGAATAGTTGCAAGCGTCCAACGGTGAGACGTCGTTTGAGCAGCCTCTTACGAATCGAGAACGGGCAAAATACAACGGTGTGGTCGACGTGCTCCTCGTCAACGAAGCTTGTATCAAATGCAACGAGTACCTCTGAGAGTGCATTTGAGTTTGTGGTCTCGGTGTGCAGAGGTTCCAAGAGGCAAGCGGAGAGGCCAGTCAGCTGCGCGAAAGGACGGCCGCCCTGAGCAGAAGAACCGAGCAGCGCAGGCGGTGTAGGCTCAGGAAGAGGCTCGCCAGGGAAGCGAACGCTGCTCCGGAAGGCACCACTCAAACGTGAGCTCCGCCCACCACTGTGCTGACGTGACACGAGGCGGGGCCTCGAGAGGGGTTTATGTCCATTTCATCTAAAGCAGCACCCTCTCCATTCCCGGGTGAAAATTGGCTCGGCTGGATTATAAGGCCATTCCCGGCTGGATCCAGCAGAGTCCTGTTTCACAATTGGGCTCCACTTGGACTGACCCCTACAGCTTACAGAATGTAAACCGTGGGGCTCAAAATTCGGCTCCAGTTGTAGTACATTGGCAGTGGCAGCTAGATCCAAAATGACCTACCTGTCACTGCCTGTCTGTGTGGTTGTGCGCAGTGAGAGCTCGGACTGGTTCGGAGTGAGGGAGTTCCTCACCGTGAACGACCACTTGGCCGGACCAGTGTCCCACGGAGACTGCGGCCCCAAGGTGAGCCTCACTCGCTTTTTTCTTAACAAGTACTTAGCTTATTGTGGGTTTTTTTTTCCAAATCGTACGGTGCATTCTGTGTCACGAAAACACTTTCCTGCCTGTGTGTGAGGACCGGCAGTCCATAAACCTTCCTAGAAAAACATGACACGAGCAAAATGCGCTGAACAGACTATCTGTACTATATAATACAATCTGAAATATTTGGTGGTTCTGAAATATTTGGTGGTTCTGGGGGTCATCGCAACACGCTTATATAACAATAATTTTAAGTCGATCCCGCGAATCTTATGAACGCAATAAAAATATTTGGCAGACAACTGGACCAATTGGTAAAAAACAACTATAAACGCGAGACCATAAATAAATGATAAGAAACTAGCGTATACTCCTAGAAATTGGCTCGCATTTGTCTCGCCACTCGTGCACACTCCTGCGTTGAAGGAAACTCCCAGAAAATAATTTTTAATGCCTGGACAGGACACTCATGCGGCAACACCAACTTTTCTTCGAAAAAAAAGGTATGTTGCGAGACTCGTTTGAGTGATTCTGGAACATGCTCTTATTTTGGGGTCGACATTTCTATGTAGAGGCATGCTTTGGACCCTGTCCTAACCCGAAATGAGTACTCTCAGCAGAAACTTTGCACTAAAAATATTTTTTTTTGGGTGGGAAAGTTTATTTTGTGGTGTAGGTATTCTATCCCACACTTAAATAAATTTTTTTTTTTTTTTTGTGGGAGTTCAATGTCCCCTTAATAGATTAATAGAGCCCTTTCAAAAGTGTGTGCCACCTCGTAGCTGCTGTGGCAATTACCGTATTTGCTTGAGTAATAGCCACACTTCTTACAATCAATTACCTGTAGAGCACATGTACGGCCGCCAATCATTGTGTTCTGTACGAAATACGCAGCAAATAACAAGGTCGAGAATGTGACTTTCCGTAAAAATTCGATCCGTGTAGATAGCGTTTTTGCGCAAATATGTTATCTCTGTTCCTTAAATCGCTACCATTCCTCTACCGATTGCGGTGATTCGCTGTCCTCGTCCTCTGCAGGGAACCGGACCCACAGGGTTTGTTCATAAATGGCACGGCCATTGCTGGAGCAAATACGGCACACAAGTGTGCCATTCTTTGAGCACGTACATGCATTGGACACGAAGACTGCGTCGGCACATGACGTGTACCGAAAACGAGTGGTACATCAACGTCAAGCGAAGACTCTGATCCAATCGCGCCCCTGGTGCTCAAGAAATGGCGGCCGCGAGCGTTGGCTCAACAGACTTTCGAAAATGGTCCATTAAGCTCTGTCCAGGGACGCAATGCTGCTCATTGCCTGGAACACGGCAGCCATACCCGCGGTGTTTGCAGGTGCCGAAGGGAGTAGAGTAGTTCCTGCCTATGGTGTTGTCCGCCGAAGAAGGAAAATTTTATTAACTGGACTCACAGTTTGCATTTGTTATTAAGAATACTTTCTCAAAGAGTTGCAAGATTGAGGCTGCAAGCTTGTCAAAAAACCTCGCGACAGTGGCCGTTTACGAGCGTGGTTTGTGGATTTTGTCCTTCATTTGGGGTGCAGTTCGGCGTAGTAAATCATAGGCATTTATTTTACTAATATATCGCACCAACACGGGGAAAAATCTGTCGCATAAGGAAGCAAGTTCCAAAGCTTGAATCCGAGCGAGGGCTCCTAAATAACAGACTCGCTCAATTGTTTGAGTCGTTTCGGCTGCATAGAGTTGCAAAGGTATCGTAACAACGTCCCTACGTCTACGCTCGTATCCTATCTGCACCGGAACGAAATTCATCGCTCGCTTCGAATGTGCGTATTCCTCACTAATCCCGTTTGCTTAATTTCTCGGCAAATTTGCACTCCCATTCTGGTGGCAGGAATAAATGTCTGTCATTGGTTAACAAAAGGTCCTTAGCCAATTGCGTTCTGCATTAGCACGGACTATGCATACTGCATTCGGCCCTAAGATGATGTGCAACAGGGTTTGCTGCGTCACCAGGAGTAACTAAGAACGTCGGGTGCATGTATGGAACCAAGACTGGATGTGACATAGTTTTAGAAGACTCCTTTGTCGGAAAAGTTTCAGGTCCAAGGATTAAGGGCATCCCTCAACAATGGCTACCCACTGCTGGACTTCATTCGGGAATGAAAGCACAAGACACCAAGGGACGAATACAGATGTTGCAAATTTGTACATGCCCGCTTCTGTCGCTTCTAGAGCATGAAATGCTTTCCCATAGAACTCCCCCCCCCCCCCCACCCCAATCTCAAAATATTGTTTGTCCGTCCGTCCATCCATCCATCCACCCATCCATGCATTTCTCGCTGAATTCAGCGGGGAAACTGATGCCACGTGACCCAAACACTAATTCAGTTTTTCTGCTAAGTTTATTTGGAAAATTGACGTTACATGACCTTTGTACGAAGTCAGTTTCCCCGGGTAAATTTAGCGGGTAAATTCATAAACATGTAGTTTCTCCTTCTCTCCTAGAAAGGATGCTCAAACGTTTTCTAAAGAAATGTAAACGATGGCACCTTCAATACTGCATGTTGTGCCAATTCACTGTGAGTTTTGTTTGTTTGCCTGGCTGAGCTGGCTGTCCCTCCCAGACAGAGCTGGAGAGTCTGGTGGACGCAGCCATTGCAGAAGGGGACCTGGATAGGGCCGAGATGCTCAGCAATCACCTGGCCGACCGACAGGTAATCATGAACCAGGCTGCTGAACCCTTCCATTGCAGCTCGGTGGGCCGACGTCAGCGGCGCCTCGTTTTAAGTTGGCCTCTTCTCTCTGGGTCGAAGGGATCTCCAGACTAATTAAACCCACAGGCCTCGAGCCCGCTTGCCTGTAGGGACTAATGCTGAACACTCGTTCATTTTCTCATTTCGGGGTAAAACGGTGTAAAAGATGAGACGGTGTTTTTTCTTCCTTCCTTCGCACTCTGCTCATTTGGCTTTCGCTCGTGCGTTTATATACTGGGTGTGAGCAAAATGAACCTTCAGTTGCTAGTCCGCGCTGTGTACTGTCCCGTCTTTACTTCATTCGCGTCGTTGCACTGTTTTACCCCGAAATATTCGTAGACCAACTAGCCCAAACAAAGCTTTTAGCAATCGTCGTTTCAGAACGTTCTCCATTCACGAGGGTTTATTTATCGCGAGCCAAAGGTACTCCAATTGATACTGTATTCTTATGTGCGTACATTGGTATGCAGTTTCAATCACAGTGGTCAGAACAGTTGTTTGGTGCGGTTTATGCAGTATTCGGAGGAGTGGCATTGTCATGCCTCCGCAAGGTACAAAAACACTGTAGGGAGTGGTGCCATCTACGCTGGCTGACCGTGGCTGAGCGAGGCTGTGAGGGGTTGATGATCACTGGGCTAGATGATTTTCTCTCTTTGGCTAAACACTGTCTAAGCCTAACCCTGACGTTCGTAGGATTGAAGCGGGTTGTAGGTCCCTCGGTTTGAACCGAAAACGCCGGTGAACATCCGTCGTTGTCAGATATACAAAAGTGGTTAAAACCGAAAAACACCAAATTGTGAAAATGTTTGCTCCAACTGAGGATAGTTTTCATAGAAATCCTCCCTTGGATGTGGCTTGGGTGCATGTTTTTACCTAACATCAAGTACCTCACTAGAACCCAATCATCAGAATCACTGGGGGGACAGTTCCTTGAGAGTTAGGTCAGTGGGTCGGTCAGTACTGACGGTCACTATGTCCTTGTTCTATTAGGATGAGGCCTGGATGGCAGTGTTTGCACCACACTGGTCGTCCTTATCGGGTGAATCTTGGAAAAGAAGCAAGAGCAGCTTGCTTTCTTTGTGGCAGAAACATTTTCCTTAAAACAAAGAAAATTTTGTCATTTCAAGGGCAGGAAAGCAGGATAAAGAGAAAACAAAAAGCTCTCGATGATTATATTAACAAATGTTAGAACTTTGACCCTTTGTCCAAACTCATTGTCTGTGGTTTGCATGTACTGTTGTACTATGATAATGCTTTCCTTTCGAGCAGAGGTTGCTGTGTGACAGTCACTTGTTTGCCACATACTCGATCCGGGAGGAGCTAAGCGTTGGCTGCTGAAGAGCATTTGCTCGGCAGCAACTGTCGAGCCACACTTGGGTGGAAGCGTTGGTATCGGCAAGCTGCATAGCTGAAGCAAGTGTGTGGCGCTCTGCAACGCAACAGTGCGCGCGTGCACAGCCAAGAAGAGAGCACGTCGTTTACCCTGGTGAATGCAAAGCCTTTTTCTGCAGCAGCCTCCACAGATCCGAAAAAGCAAGAATCAGAGAGGCTGTGAATAGCCCTGGCACATGCCGTGCAAGCTGTAATGTGAGGCTCCAGGCTTGTTTTTAAACATTTGAAGTATTTCTTTTCTTTTTACAGTGAAACCCGTTTAGAACGAACCCATGTACAGCGAATTATTGACGATATCGAAGTCACGAAAAATTTAAATAAAAATGCATGTAAAAAGTATGTTTTATAACAAACAATATATTGGTTATATCGAACTTTTCACCCCCGAGAAGGCTTCCAGAAACGCGCAAACAATCGTCTTCTAGCCTGTCCCGTCCCCCAAAAAAGAGGTAGGAAAGAACGAAAATTCCAAAAGCTCAAGTTGCGAACAAAATTGAGCGAACAAAAGTGACTCAGAAGGGGAAAAGGCTAAAATAAAAACACACTCACGCACAGAAAAGAAAAACAAAAAAACTTTCCATCCCAAAGCGTTTGACCACAAAGAGAAGCGACTAAAAAAAAAGATAAAATTAAAAAAAAAAGAAAAAAAAAACTGTGCAACATGCAAAACAAAAAAAAAAAAAAAAAAAAGACTTTTTAGGACGTTGTTACAAGGCGGAATGAAGAGATGAGAAAGAAAGAGAAGCTCTCACCTTACAACAAACTCATCGTGGAAGTTTGTTGTAAATGCTTTTTTCGCTATATCGAACTACCTGCCATATCGAACTGATCGTAGCACTTCCTGCTGTTCGTTATAAACGGGCTTGACTGTATATGAACAATTGGCAGTGTTATTCATTAGAAAGATCACTCACGGACACGTCATACGTGTTTCTTTAAATAATAAGCCATCTTTAATCAGCATAGATGCGAACTAACATAGTCACTCCGTGCTTTGACATGGCACGTCGTCTGCTCCCATCCTACCAGCTCCGTCACAGGAGCGCGCTTGCAAGGTGGCGCCACCAAAACGTCTCGTCGCCAACGAACACTGTTTTTAGCCTATGTTGGGGAACAAATCTCCAAAGTACACTGACTATTAAAAATAAAAATAAACGCGAAAGACATTCTCGATTTTCTTTTTATAAATAAAGTCTAAATTTTGCGGCCTACGGTAGATATAAGTAGGTCATAGATTTTCAAATTTATTTGCGAGAAAAATTGGTGTTTTTTTTCCCAGTGTTTATTTCTTTGAAAAGATTGGTGTATTTCGGTTATTTGTTTTGCATCTAGGCTAAAAATGGTGATTATCGGTAAAAAGAACAACTCATAAAAAAACTAGGATTTTCCCTTTAATTTACAATTTTGTGTATACGGTACAATCCACGTATAACGTTAATGAGAAAACCCAAAAATTTAATTGTTATGACCGGTTATCGTTTTAACTGGACTAGAAACTGGTCATTTCCAGTCTAGAAACTCTAAGAACTGATCGTTGTAAGCGGTACATTGTTATATGTGCTATCGTTATAAGTGGATTGCACTATACTAGTATACCCTTATAACGTTTCACGCTTCTCAAAATGCAACAGTACTTACAAAGCACAGGTCGTGAGTCCGAACATGGGTTAAAATCTGAGTATACCTTAATGTAATCATTTGTTTTCTTTGTATCCCGCTACAGTTCCGATGACAGAAATTGGATTGATTTCAAGCGAAATGTTACTGCCACGAGGAAGGCAAGTTGCCCTTGAACCGATAAGAACCACCAGTGTAGTTTCGAACACTGTCGTCCCGCTCTGACTCAAAGAGAACAAACACATTGTAGCAATCCCTGGTGACCAACTGCCTCCCAAGTCACTGATTCCACTGATCTGGGACTGGCAGGGTGCTCGATTCTATATAGGAGCATACGTCCAACAATCGTCTAAGAAGAGAGAGTTTTGACAAAAACAGTCCTTGCTTAGAACAAATATTTCTACAAATCTTTTTACAGCGAAGCTGTTATAGTCTAAGCTCATTGCAACAGAACTAGCTGGTTACAACAGACATTTGGATATAACATACCGATTTGTGAAGTTTGGTTGGTTTTCCTTTACATGCCATCGACTCAACTTCATATCTGAACACAACATACTCTTCTTACAACAGACCGAAATCTTGGTCAAAATCAAGGTCTGTTATAATGAGCTTACCGTAAAATCCCGAGAGACAGCTCACCTAACATTGAATGCAAATCCGGTAAAAATATGGAGTGGGCTAACTTTCAATGTACAATCGAGCGAAGTTAAAAAGAAAAAGTTGCTATTTTAGGTCGTGTCCTTTCTAAGCTTGCTATGGTGGTGAGGGGCAACGAAGCAAAGATGACTGTACTTCCCCGTCAGCAACATTCACTTATATTCTGCCAAAGCTAACTAGCCGCATTTACGCCGAGGTCATCATTGATCACAACACTACTATTACTAGGAGTGAGCTATCTTTCAGTGTATAAAAAAATATAGCAAATCAAGCCAAAAATACAAGTCGGCTATCTCTTGGGGGTGGGGAATCTTTCAGGATTTTACGGTAAACTGTATGTGCTAGGATCTGGGGAAAAATGCGTCCATGGATGTTAACAAAAAAACTCCCGTTTAAACGGTACTCTTTCGTTCCGATTGGTCGTGGCAAGTATAAATAAAAAGAGGAGGCGACTTGCGCGAGTCAGTCTTCCTTGGCATTATTAGTCACTGACTTATCTCAGCTAAGAGTGCGCTGTGACGAGGCTGAGGGCACAATGCACCGATCTAACCTTCTTTTCTTTCGCTTCCGCGATGCTGATAAAGAGACCTGGGCTCAACCAGAAAAACTATCCTCGAGGTGTACCTAAAAAAATTGGGTTTAGAACTTGCCCATAAGGCAATGATCACTTTAGTCACTAAGAATTAAATAAAGACAATTAAACAACAAAGTCATGTATGTGTCCTTCATTGCAATCATGTGTGAATCGTAAAGATGTCGTATAGTTGTAAAGATAACAGCTTCGCTGGTCCTCCATGTTCATGTGAAGTGGATGGGCCCTACAATTTTTTTTTTTGTTTATTCCGATTTCATATTTTTGATGCGGGTGGATGTTTTGGGCTATAGCCTAGAGCTGTCCTTGCTCCATGCACTAATTGCTATAAAAAACATGGCAAAAAAATCTATTGGCACTAGCCTCCTCAGTTTGCAGCCAGGACCAGTGGTCGCGTGTTCTGTCGCCGATTCGTACCACACAAGTTTGTCACATCCACACGCCGTGGCAAATGTTTCAGAGCTAGGCGGGCTCAGACCTCATACTCCTGTCAATATCAGGGTTTGACAATTTTATTTTATTGCCCCAATTTGTCATGTATGGAACTCTATTAAAAGGTATGCAGGGCACATGAGTCGTAAGGAATATGCCTTCCCTCTGGATGCTGCCAAAGGAGATGCTCATTTGGGATCTTTTGCGCATCTCCAGACGTCCGTCGAGCTTCGTCTGCCTCGGTGCGGTGCCATCTTTGCACCAATTA